ACAGACTCGCGGCAGAGGTTTTCGTTCGGACCGTTCGCCCGGAGAATCGACCAGTTGAGCGCGCGATGGCGGACGATCAGGAAGCGAACAACACGTGCGAGGATTCCCTCGGACCCGGCGACGCGAACACCGCGTTCGCCAAGAAGATCCGGGGAAGGAAAGGAGCTCTCAAGAAGAAGAATGTCTACATCGTCAAGAATCACAGCTTCATGCCGCGGTTCTTCAAGCAACCGACGTTCTGCAGTCACTGCAAGGACTTTATATGGTGAGTCCTTTAAATTTCAATTTTAATCGTTCCTTGCTCGAAGGTTGATCTACTTTTTCCTGCTTCTCTCCCTCTCTCGGTGCCCGTCTCCCTCCCTCTATCGATTCATCCCTTCGTTTACGAGCGGAATCGAGTCGGGTCATCGCGTAACCGATTTTCCTTTCTCTTTTCACCGTTTCCTAGGCAGCGCATCAGGGCGTTCAAAATCGTGCAAACGCGCGTCTTCGACGTTTTCTCCCGCCCTTCTTTTTATTCCCTCTCTCTCTTTCGCGTCTCTCTGTACAAAGATACATAAATCCAGCGAATAACTGCCGGTAGAGCTCGAGCATCGGTTAAACGGTTCGGCCTTGAGAATACTCGCGCTTCGTCCAAATTAGAAACGACCGAACGGACGAGAGGTCAATTCGAGCGCGGGGTTTTCGAACGTGCCCATCGTCCTTCTGGGCCGAACGAGAATAAACGCAAAGGACGAGCGTTTCTGACTTCTGTCAGAAAGCGTGGCTTATCACGCTCGTAACATTTACTCGGCATGTCCGAAACGGTTACGAGCGTTGACGCGCGGAATAGCGCGACCCAGTAACCGAACTAACTCGTTTCTCCGACATCGATTTTGCCGTACGGAATGGACGCAACGGACGTTTCCGATCTGTCTCTTCTATGGCTTTTGTCGGCACTTCCGACGCGTCACATATTTCAAAATTTCGCGTGCCGTACGCTTACCGATTGGCTGCGTCTCGCTGCGGATCGTTCCGGTTCGATGCGGTTAAGACGCTACCCAATTGGGTTAAATTGAGACAAATGCGGTTAAACGCGGTCCTGTACGATCGGACGCAAAAAACGAGCAGTTCGCGACTCGGTATCGAGAGATCGATGCGTTTCGAGTTCTTTCGATTTATCTGACAGTTACCTAACGGAAGACGCGTTTTCGAGGATCGTTTCGTTGGCTTCCGATTCGCGGATCACGTGCCGCGATCGTAACGCGTTTAAAACCATAAGTCGTTATCGAATTATGCGGTTTCGCTTGACCAAGCTAGCTTCGTGCACGCGGAGGGGCCGCTTGACGCCGCGATTAGGACTTCTGCGCGTCATCGCCGCTTTTTTAGCGCGATACAGGTAAGCTTTTCCTTCGATCTAGGGTCTTCCGAATCGGCTCAGATCGGTCGAACAAAACTGGTTTTCGCCGGTTAATCGAATACGTGGAAGTTACGCTCGTATGCTCCGTAAGCGAAATAATGGAATTAGATTGCCTCGGATCGCGTTACGGCTTGGAATAACGCGTCCAACGAATTTCAGTCTCGATGTCCAGCTTTTTAGGTACATTGTCACGGAGATGATATTACTATACTTGTGATCTGAAATTATACGGGACCTGATACGGTGGAAAACCCTGATCGATTTTCTTTTTTAACGCGTTGCCTGTCACGAGGGAAATTGACGTATGTGCTCTGACACTATATAGATAATTAATACTTCAGCTTAATATTTTAATTTGTTAGGTCACTCAAATTTTTTCTTGTATATTATCTACATACTTCATATTTTAATAATAATATACAGTATTAACAATAATATACAAGAGCATAACTGTCAAGATAAATGTGTTAAATATATTTAGATAATTTTATAATTATCTACATATTTAATATTTTAATAATAATGTATAATATATAACATTTTAGTAATAATATACAATGTGTAATATATTTTAATGATAATACATAAGTGTATGACTGTCAAGCTAAATGTGTTAAATGTATTCAGATAATTTTATAATTATCTACATGTTTAATATTTTAATAATATATAATGTATGATATATTTTAGTAACAATATACAATATATAATATATTTTAATAATAATGTACAAGTGTATGACTGTCAAGTTAAATATGTTAAATGTATTTAGATAATTTTATAATTATATACATACTTAATATTTTAATAATAATATACAAGTGTTTAACTATCATGTTAAATGTATTACATGTATTTAGATAATTATACAATTGTCTACACACTTAACATTTTAATAATAATATACAAGTGTTTAACTATCAAGTTAAATGTATTAAATGTATTTAGATAATTATACAAATATCTACATATTTAATATTTTAATAATAATATATAAATGTATAACAATCAAGTTAAATGTGTTAACTGTACATAAATGATTATCTACATACTTAATATTTTAATAATAACACATAACTGCATAGTTATCAAGTTAAAAATGTTAATATTTTTCAAAAATATTTATACAAATGTTAACAACGCTAATTCTTATTCGACAAAAATTTGTTATAAATTCACAACTTTGGAATACGAAGCCCACTAAATGTGTTATGTTAGCACAACAGCTAATCTAAGATTTCAGTGTCGATGTGGACGTTCATTGTCTTTTTCTTTCCCGACGGAAATCGATAATCGAATGAAATTTCGTTTCCCTCGATAAACATCCCGTCGCGTCAATTCATGCCCGATTACTTGTACTTCCGACTTCGCCACGTTCACAAATTTACTTACAGTTTTCGATGAAACGTTTAAACGTTTAATTTCCATCCGTAACTGGCAACCGGAAAGGGTTAACGTCCGTGAATTATGACGGCGAGACTGTTCCAGGGGATCTTTCCGGTCGGCTGGAAATTCGCTTACACGGCCGAGATATCGTTCTCGAGGAAATCGAACGATCTCGACTCCAGGGAACGTTCCAATTTCTCTCCTTATATAACTCCATGTTTTTTTCATTACCGGCGTCTTTCCGCGAAAAGTGATTTCGATACTGATCGACGTTAGATTACGAGCGCAGGAGAAAAATATACTTTGCCGGAGCCTTCGAACAACGGGACTATTATTTTTGGATCATTCGATATATATTTTTGGGTCGTAGATTGCTCTCGAGTCTCGTTGGCGCGAATCAAGATTCGCGTAACGACACGTAATGACGAGGTTACGAAGTTCTTCGAAATCACCTTCTTACTGCTTCCTCGAAACCGCGTCCTTTTATCTCGAATTGTAACTCGATTCTTCCGATACCGGTTATACGATCACACTTGGAACCTTTTCGCAAAAAAACACGTTAAACGAGATGAAATTCTAGAACCACTGAAATTCAACTTAATTGTTAATGCATTCGTATACGTTTGAACACTGGTGCGCAACGCGCATGCGCAACAGTTCGCGCATGCGCACAACCACTTTTTTACTCGTGAAATTTTATATCCTTTCAACCGTCGCTACAATGTTTCACTACAGCAATTTTTTGGCACTTACAATTTCGAATAACCGGTTATTTTAAGAAATGCAAATGAGTAATTTGAATGACGGAAACTTTTGTCGAAAACAAGCCGCATAGGCGAATGTATTACGAAATTTATTTAATAAAAATTCAGTCTCTGTTTTTGAGGGGATACCGCGTTTCTTTTACGAATATTACTAAGATTCGATCTTGAATGCCGTCGATTCCCATGATTCGCATTCCTGCATTCTCGAGAATCCTGTCGATCGATTTCGACGAACGTATCGATACGTATCGGATTACGAGACGTATCCTGCGTATTCGAGGCAAAATATTCGGATGCATTATTCGTGACGTTTCCGGTGAATTTCGTGAATCTAAAAAAGCACGTCTCGCGACTGGCCGAAGGCCAACGTTTGAATTTTGAAGAGCATGTTTTGCGTATGTAAGGATAACTTCTCCTGCAGACTGGGAAAATTCGGTCGGCGAAATCGGGCGAGTTTAAACGCGTCTCGCAACGGTGTCGCGTTCTTTTGGCCGGCGACCAATCGACCGCCTGTTGGACGCGACCACTTTGAAACTTCCCACGAACGTCCCCCAACTCCTCGACCACCCTCCTCTATTATTTTCCACGGCGATTCGCGTGCGTTTTCACGAGAACTGGCAAGGCTCGTTTCCGAGTCGGCCAAGATCCTGAGCGAACGGGAGAGACGAAACGGATCGATGCGAGATACCTGGGAGGAATTTTTAGCGCCGTAGACGGACAGGGACTGTAAAATCGATGAAAACGGAGAGAACTCAATTAGGTCGGAACAAAAGGCTTTCTTCGATGGATTCGGTGTCGAGAGAGATCGGGTTCGATGGATCGCTGCGTTTGCTGGTAACCCTTTTCGTCGCTCATCGATCGGGCGCCCGGGGGCAGAGCGGAAAATCGTATTCGAGGCACGGCGAATTTTCTCTCTCGTTGCACGTTTGCCTCGTATCGAGTTTCGCTTCGAATGCACGCGTATCGGGTTAATTTTACCAGAAAAATTGGCCCGTCCGCGCTTACGAGCCTCGATTCGACCGGCCATCCGTTCATCCGTTCATCCGTCCACACGATCGCCTACCCTCGCGGTGGTCCAGCGCGTACGC